TGTGTGGGCAGCTGTCTATTCCAGCTGCAGTAGGGGGCGCATCACACAATTCCTTTTTTTTGTGTCACCTTTATTTGAAGTGCACAAAGTGACAATTAATTTATGTCACTGCACTGCGATGCCTTCCTTTATGCTGCAAGCTCACCGTGTTGCACCTCCAGGCTGCATTGCAGTGTGTGTGACCTGCATTCATCCAGTGCGGTAAAATGCAGGTCACCTCAATATGTATGAACGGGGCCTTAAAATTCAAAAATGACTCCCATGGCAGACAAAAAGTGAACCCTGTCCTGAGAATAGATTCAGATCCCTTTCAATGATGCTCACTGTGGATTCCCCCCCCCCCCCCCAGTTTGAGGGCATGCCTCTCCCCCTTTTCCTGCATGCTCGGATACGGGTCTAGTATGCATCTGGGGGGGGGGGGGCCTCAAGCCATATTTTTTATTTTTGGCATGGGGTCCGCCATAAAATTCATACTAGACCTGAAGGGTGTGGTATGGACTGTGGGGGAACCTCCATGCCATTTTTACATTTTCTTTACATTTTTACTGAAAGGCTTATTTGTTTACATTGTGCTGCCAGTCGGGAATCCCCTGGCTGAAAGCAGAGATGAGAGATGGTTGTCAAAATGCCAGTGGTTGTCGACTCTTCAACAACCAATGACTCATCCCTGCTAGCTGACAGCAGAGATGAATCACTGGTTGTTAGGAAGCCTGCAGTGTCAACTCCTTAACAACCAACACAAATTGCAGGCAAAAAACACACAAAAATAAACACAGACATGTGTTCTTGGTGTGTCGCTATTGAAGTCTATGGGGTACACAACCGTGCTGCATCACACCAAAGTAGACTGGTTCCCCAAAGTCACATCACATAATGCATTGATATGGATGGGCACCATATATCAATTGTGATATGTATTGTCATGTGATTCTGTGTGACTCAAGTCACATCTGAAATGGCGCTAGCTGAACCAGACCTTAGTGTCCGGTATTGAACAAAAATATAGTCAATTTTTCATTTAAACATTGCAGCTAGAAAACAGTTGCCATTTTGTGCAGCAGCTCTAACAGACAGAGATACTATTAAAGAACAGAAACGATCTGAAAACGATACAGAAGGCAGTGTCCTGTGACCTACAGTAGACCTTTCATTGATATACTTGTCCTCTGAGAGTGTTTGTTACATGGATGGTTCTAATCAGAGAGATCATTGATCTTTCTAACAAATGTGCTATGAGAACATATTGACATTTTTCCCAGAGCTACTTGTACCAAAAATAGAACAAGCCACTTTTATGGTCTATTTATGACAGACAATCTCTGCACCTCCAACCTTTCAGGCTGCCTTTACCACATGTGAGTAAATAAAAGTGTGAAACAAAGTCAGAGACCGTTTGCGTAAAGCAGTTCAGAGAACTACAGATATGACAGAGAATTCAAAAACATGCAGAGCGAAAATATAATCCCACCCAGCCCCTACTCTAAAAAAAGAAAAAAAATCCTTTGATTGCACATTTGGTTCTCCAATGCCTTCAAAATGCCCTAGTAAACAGGGAAGCAGCATTGCAGCTGTCATCTTCTTCACTACAACGCAAGCATCCACACCTACTATAGGAAAATATGGACACTAAAACAAAAAGGGCAAACTATTATGATGCATATAGTAATACCTCTGTAGAAATAACTTCTAGGCCTTAGGAGAAGGTTCAGGTGTGCAAGAGGCATGAAAAAAGACTGAATGATTTTCCTACAACTAATAGAAATTAAAAAAAAAAAAAAAATCAAAAACAATAAATAAATATATAAATAAATATATATATACATACATACACACACACTATATTGCCACAAGTATTGGGACGCCTGCCTTTACACGCACATGAACTTTAATGGCATCCCAGTCTTAGTCTGTAGGGTTCAATATTGAGTTGGCCCACCCTTTGCAGCTATAACAGTTTCAACTCTTCTGGGAAGGCTGTCCACAAGGTTTAGGAGTGTGTCTATGGGAATGTTTGACCATTCTTCCAGAAGCACATTTGTGAGGTCAGGCACTGATGTCGGACGAGAAGGCCTGGCTCACAGTCTCCGCCCTAATTCATCCCAAAGGTGTTCTATCGGGTTGAGGTCAGGACTCTGTACAGGCCAGTCAAGTTTCTCCACCCCAAACTCACTCATCCATGTCTTTATGGACCTTGCTTTGTGCACTGGTGTGCAGTTATGTTGGAACAGGAAGGGGCCATCCCCAAACTGTTCCCACAAAGTTGGAAGCTTGAAATTGTCCAAATTGTCTTGGTATGCCGACGCCTTAAGATTTCCCTTCACTGGAGCTAAGGGGCCAAGCCCAACCCCTGAAAAACAACCCCACACCATAATCCCCTGTCCACCAAACTTTACACTTGGCACAATGCAGTCAGGCAAGTATCGTTTCCTGGAAACCGCCAAACCCAGACATGTCCATCAGATTGCCAGACAGAGAAGCCTGATTTGTCATCCAGAGAACTTGTCTCCAGAGAACTTTACACCACTGCATCTGACGCTTTGTATTGCACTTGGTGATGTAAGGCTTGGATGCAGCTGCTCAGCCATGGAAACCCATTCCATGAAGCTCTCTACACACTGTTGTTGTGCTAATCTGAAGGCCATATGAAGTTTGGAGGTATTTAGCTATCGACTCTGCAGACAGTTGGTGACTTCTGCACACTGTGCGCTTCAGCATGTGCTGACCCCGCTCTGTCATTTTACATGGCCTACCACTTCGTGGCCTAGTTGCTGTTGTTACCAGTTGCTTCCACTTTGTTATAATACCACTAACAGTTGACCATGGAATATGTGTGTGCGTATGTTCTCCCTGTGCCTGCATGGGTTTCCTCTGGGTACTCCAGTTTCTTTTCCCGCACTCCAAAGACATGCTGGTAGGATAATTGGCTCCTGTCTAAATTGGCCCTAATATTTGTATGTATGAATGTGAATTAGGGACCTTAGATTGTACACCCCTTGAGGGTGAGGGACTGATGTCAATGTACAATATGTATATGTATGTAAAGAGCTGCATAAATTGATGACACTATATAAGTACCTGTGATAAATAAATAAATACACATACCCACGGCCTTTGGGAAGAAAGTGGGTCAGGTAAGAGATGCACCAGGGCTCTGTCACGCCAGGGCATTGTAGTAGAGTATGGCGCTTACAGCTATGGTCTGTGTTTTACTTAGGGTGTTGGTATAAGTAGGGTCAGGGATATAAATTTTAAAAAAAAAAAAGTTTTCAACTTTCGGCTATAAAAAAAAACATGTCCAATAAAAAAATGTACATTTCTTCATAAATTTTGGCCACAATATATTCTGCTAAATGTTTTTGGTAAAAAAAAAAAAAAAAGATTTCAATAAGTGTATATTGATTGGTTTGCACGAAAGTTATATCGTCTAGTAACTATGGTATATATACTGGGATTTGTATTAATTTTTGTATAACTAATGGCAGTGGTCAGCGACATGGTGCACACGTGCCTTCCTTAAACAAGGAACCAGGAAGTGACATACCAGTTTGTCACTGTGCCTGCATGGACTGCCGTCCTCAGTACATTGCCAGCAGAGGTCCGGAAGTGGTTATGCAGGGTCTGACACACCCATACATCTTTCTGGGACTCCTATATCTTCGTAGTCGATTATTTACCTGTTAACAGTTTTTAACAGTAAGAGTTTCTAATTCCCCCCCCCCCTTCAAATCATCCACCCCTATCTTCTGTGTTTACCATCTGCCATAATGTTATGGTTTGCTATGTCGTGTGATTTAATATTGAAAAATCAATTCAAGTGAATAAGCAAAATAAAAAAAAAAAAAGTACAGATGGCACCTATATCCTGAGCCTCTATGCCATGGTTATATTTATTGGCTCTATAAATCCATTTGATTTCTACACATTTATAGTCTGACTCCAAAATCTATTTACAATTTGGATTGGGATGGGAAGGTGGTGGTGGGGGTTGGGGGATGTAAGGAGGGAAAGCTTTTTCAAGTTTTTTATTCTTATCTGTAATCCCACTGGGAAGATGTTTGCTGACTTCCTGTCTCCGCAATACTCATAAATGAAAAAATGGGCTTACCTGTCTCTGTAAAGTGAAGACAGCAATAAAACATTGTTAGAAGTTCTAACTCTTCCTTACTATGCTAAAAATGTGTTTTGTTTACGTTTGTGTCCACTTTGTGATTTTCCACCACAAAGTAATAACAGCTTGACAGAGGCTCTAAAGCTGGCCATACACTGTTAGTTTTTTCCTTTCTTTTTTCGTTGAGCCAGCAGGCTGAATGAAAAAAGAAAAAGATTCTTCCATTCACACAAACAAGGTGAATGGAGGAATCCTTTCCTGGCAAGACATTGTATTCTGACAACTGCACCCACTGCTGTCAGAATCCACTGATCAGCTGATTGGCTGCAGCCGCTGATCGAGCCCCCCCCAGATTTCGGTTGTGCCCCCCCAAAGCCATTAGCTCCCCCTCCTGCCTCCAGCCCTGATGCTGTGCCCCTTTAATTCCCTCTCACTGTTGGGCAAAAGCTGCCCTCTGTGTCACATACTTCTGACCTCTGCCTCACTTAGTAATGACCCCTGTCCTACACCCTGCTGACTCCTGTCCTCCCTCCTGCTCACCTCTGTACATTGTCCTACAAACTAATGGCCTCTGCTGACCTTCCATCCTCTGTCCCCGACATTTTTTACTACACCCCCTCATCAGAAAGGCTAGATCCGGCCCTGCTGTGAATCATTACTTTTCTTTTTGTAAGGCATGTTCAGGTATAACACCTCACAGTTCTTCAGGAAGCACATTTTTGCACTTTTGTTCAATACAAAGAGCTTTACAAAAAAGTATGAACTGCCAGAGAGAGCATTTAAGTTTCTTGGCAAAGGTATTAGATGACAACATGTTGTTTTGTAAAGTCAGAAGCACTGTAAGCCAGGCATACAGATGAACTCAGCTGAATTAACTTTTCTTTACACTTACCCTTTAAGTAGTATAAAGAGTATATGTTGGTGGGAACTGATATATTCCACAGTGGGGCTGCGAGTGCCAATCTGTCTTCTCAAGATATTGTTGAAAATCTGAGATACATCCTTCTTACCCTGAAAGATATTTTCAAATTACAGACATAATTTAAAGATGGTCACACACATTACAATCTTATTGGACAATCTCTGTACAATTTGCTTCAACAATAATGTTTTCTATTTAATTCATATTCAACCAGACAGACTCTCATGTTACAATGTTTTAGTATCTAAAGAAAACTGTACAATTAGATTGTGAAGTGTGTTGCTTAGGCTTTGTATAAAAGTCTACAAGAAGTGTAAAGTGTAGGTATTGTTATGAGCAACCAAAATACAGTGGGTATAGAAAAGAATCACACCCCTTTAAATAATCATATTTTGTTGCAGCTTGAAATAACAGACACAGTTTTTGTTCTATCCAAACAAATTTACTCTGTGGAATGACTTGAAGACTGCAGTCCATAAACGTCCACCATTAAATTTAACTGAACTTGAGCAGTTCTGCAAAGAAGAGTGGACACATATTGCAAAATCTAGATGTGCAAAGATAGTACAGATATATCCCAACAGATTAAAGGCTGGAATTAAAGCAAAAGCTGGTTCAACAAAATACTGACACAAGGGGGTGATCCTTTTTCCAACTCAGTGAATCTGTTTTTGAATTTTTTTTTTTTTCTGACATGTTGGTGTTATATCTTTCACTTAGATGTTATTAGAGTAAATACATTTGGATAGAACAAAAACTGTCTGTCTTCATTTCAGGCTGCAACACAACAAAATGTGATTATTTTAAAGGGGGGGGAGAGAGTGATTCTTTTCTATACCAACTGCATTTTGGTTGCTCATAACAATACCTACACCTTACACTTCTTTCAGGCTTTTATACAAAGCCTAAGCAACGCACTTCACAATCTAATTGTACCATTTTCTTTAGATACTAAAACATTGTATCATGACAGTCTGTCTGACTGAATAAAATTAGAAAAATTTCTTGTTGAAGCAAACTGTATTGAGTAAATACAGCTGAATAAAGCAATTCATTTCAGGCTGAAAAGCAACAAAAGGTGATTACAGTAATACCTTGGTTTACGTATGCCTCAGTTAACGTAATTTTTGGTTTACGAATGAAAATCCATTGAAAATAATGCCTCGGTTTACGAATCTTTTACTAATTTTTTTCCAAACACGAAGTGTATGTTGGTGCTGATTTCTAAATGCAATTGCCGTCTTTTATTTTTTTCTTCACTATAGCTCACAACATTAGCTGTCACTTTCCCCAGAGTTATAGGAAACTTTGTATCTTTTAAGAAACTGAAAGGAAACATTGTTTATTTTAACTTGGGGAAATAAACTAAAAGAAACTCTCTCTCTTTTAGTTGGGGGGAAAGTGCCAGCTGAATTTCTGAACTGCTGTATAGTGAAGAAAAAAAAAAAAAGCAATAATTACATTTAAAAACTGGCACCTAAAAGTATTGCCGGCAATTAAAAAAATTATTGAAAAATCTCTTAGCTATAGTAAAGAAAAAAAAAAGCGGTAATTACATTTAAAAACCGGCACCATAATAAATGAAAAAAAAAACGGCATGGGGTCCCCCCTCCAATCCATACCAAGTGCTTCGGGTCTGCTATGAATTTTAAGGGGAACTCCCACGCCAAAATTAAAAAAAAAAAAAAAAGATGTGGGGGTTCTCCCCCCCTCCCCCAGAAATCCATACCAGACCCTTATCTGAGCATGCAGCCCGGCAGATCAGGAAAGGGAGGGGGGGGATCAGCAAGGCCCCCCCCCCCCCCCCTTCCGAATAGACAGCCTGGATGGAGAAATCTCCACTGCTGGCTATTATAGTCTGGCAGATGCAGTAACCATGGCTGCCTGAATCCCCAACAGTAATTGCTTTTAACAGGATGCTGTCAACTGTTCAGTTTACATATTCCACCTGGCTCAGTCCATTTTTTATTTCCAAAATTCACAATAGAAGAAGTATGGAAGACATTCATTTTCTGAAATCTATAAAACTTGTGCTGGGTGAACTGCAACCATTAGAACCATGGTAGAATTAAACAGAAAGATAGTCACAATCACAACTACCTGGATTTTAAAGAAAAGTAAATGAGCAGATGGGTAGGATTATGACAGCTGTTAATTTTAAATTCAGCAATAGTTACAGAGCAGTGTGGGGCTATTACATCATCCTGAAAGCAACTGTCAAGTAGTATAAAAATAACAGTGTAGTAAAGCACCACATCCTTTTCACTTAGATTACTGTCAAGTAGTATGTCTTCTATAGTTCACAATGCCTGTAGGTAGACCATTTTAAACCCTGAAATCACATATATATAAAGGAAACAAATTAAAGTATATCCATGACCTTCCATTAAAAAACAAATATGTGCAGCAGCACTTCATTAAGAGTGCATCTGCACTTATAGTTTTCTCTTAGTTCACTCAGGCCTTGAATGTTAAAGCAGCCTTTAACATGCGGCGGAGGTGCTCAAGAAGGAAGGGAAAAAGGAGACATGATTGAAACCTTTAAATACACCAAAGAGGTGAATAAGGTTATGGAGGGCAGTATTTTCAACATGAAACCAAAATCAAGAACATGGGGACATGACCTTAAACTAACGGGTGGAAAGTTCAAAACTAATCTCAGAAAGTACTATTTTAATGAAAGAGTAGTTGATGCTTGGAATAATGAAAAGTGGAAGCTTGTGAGCTGCTATGTAAGTGCTAATTGATATTAAGTGCTAATTGTAAATCGCCTGCACCTTTTATTAATAAACGGTTTTATACGGATAATACACTATGATTTGATTATTCTTCTATTCAACCTACGTGAAAGGGGAGCCTATCGTTTGATTGGAGAAGGACCCCAAACAGCAGGATACCATCCCATCCATTTTGGCCCATTTAAAGGGACACAAGCGTTATATGACCTCACTTAACGGTTTGGTCATATACTTGAGGTGACAGCACATCTGGTGGGGGAGCATAATATAAGGAGAATTTTTTTACACAAGAAATCAATTAAGCAGCACGGGATATTTTATTTAAAAAATAAACTAGGCACATTTGAAGAAGCATATATATATGGACTTTTTTAATATATTTCTGACATGTGTATGGACATTACAGTACTTTTGGCATATTGTATTTTTATGTATAAGCGTATTGCTTTTGAAAATTTATATTGGTTCATATACTTATTTTGTCACTCACTATCCATAGCAGTACTGCACTTATTACTTCCAGCAGATATAGTGAAGTGAGCCAGTCAACAGTAATTAGCTTCAAATGTGCTTGAGGGAGCTTCAAATGTGCTTGGGACAAACATAGATTTATACTCAGACAAAAAAGTTAACAAAAAAAACCCCCAAAAACACCCCCCCCCCCAAAAAAAAAACAAAAAACAAACAAGCAAAAAAAAATGGCAGACTCGATGGACCACTTGGTCTTTTTCTGCCATCACTTTTCTATGTTTCTATGTCACATAAGGGGACTCTCCTAAAATGCCCTGTGACATTTTTTTTTTTTTTTACAATGTTAAAATGGAGAGTGATCACTTTTGATGCTTTGCAATTGTACCGCAAATGTGCTGTAGATGCCTTAGGCCCGTTTTAGGCCCAATTCAATAGAAATCAATGGAGTTGCAAAAACCTGCCTGCCAAACTCTGAAAGCAGCGCTATTTTTGCATCGCCATGACCTGAAGCAAAGCTAACACTGCCATGTAAACACCTCCACCCAGCTCCCTATTTTAACATTTTTAGTGGCATTTACAGTGGGGATCGAAAGTTTGGGCACCCCAGCTAAAAAATTGTATTCATGTGCATAAAGAAGCCAAGAAAAGATGGAAAAATGTCCAAAAGGCATCAAATTACAGATTAGACATTCTTATAATATGTCAACAAAAGTTAGATTTTATTTCCATCATTTACATTTTCAAAATAACAGAAAACAAAAAAATGGCGTCTGCAAAAGTTTGGGCACCCTGCAGAATTTATAGCATGCACTGCCCCCTTTGCAAAGCTGAGACCTGCCAGTGTCATGGATTGTTCTCAATCATCATCTGGGAAGACCAGATGATGTCAGTCTCAAAGGTTTTAAATGCCCAGACTCATCTGACCTTGCCCCAACAATCAGCACCATGGGTTCTTCTAAGCAGTTGTCTAGAAAACTGAAACTGAAAATAGTTGACGCTCACAAAGCTGGAGAAGGCTATAAGAAGATAGCAAAGCGTTTTCAGATGTCAATATCCTCTGTTCGGAATGTAATTAAGAAATGGCAGTCATCAGGAACAGTGGAAGTTAAAGCAAGATCTGGAAGACCAAGAAAAATATCAGACAGAACAGCTCGCAGGATAGTGAGAAAAACAATTCAAAACCCACGTTTGACTGCACGATCCCTCCAGAAAGATCTGGCAGACACTGGAGTTGTGGTACACTATTCCACTATAAAGAGATACTTGTACAAATATGGTCTTCATGGAAGAGTCATCAGAAGAAAACGTCTTCTACGTCCTCACCACAAAAATCATCGTTTGAACTTTGCAAATGAACATATAGACAAGCCTGATGCATTTTGGAAACAAGTTCTGTGGACCGATGAGGTTAAAATTGAACTTTTTGGCCAGAATGAGCAAAGGTACGTTTGGAGAAGAAGGGGCACAGAATTTAATGAAAAGAACCTCTGTCCAACTGTTAAGCATGGGGTTGGATCAATCATGCTTTGGGGTTGTGTTGCAGCCAGTGGCACAGGGAACATCTCACGAGTAGAAGGAAAAATGGATTCAATAAAATTTCAGCAAATTCTGGATGGTAACGTGATGCCATCTGTGAAAAAGCTGAAGTTAAAGAGAGGATGGCTTCTAAAAAATGGATAATGATCCTAAACACACCTCGAAATCCACGGGGGATTACATCAAGAGGCGTAAACTGAAGGTTTTGCCATGGCCTTCACAATCTCCTGACCTCAACATAATTGAAAATCTATGGATAGACCTTAAAAGAGCAGTGCGTGACAGACAGCCCAGAAATCTCAAAGAACTGGAAGACTTTTGTAAGGAAGAATGGGCAAAGATACCTCAAACAAGAATTGAAAGACCCTTGGCTGGCTACAAAAAGCGTTTACAAGCTGTGATACTTGCTAAAGGGGGCAGTACAAGATATTAACTCTGCAGGGTGCCCAAACTTTTGCAGACGCAATTTTTTTGTTTTGTTATTTTGAAAGTGTAAATGATGGAAATAAAATCTAACTTTTGTTGACATATTATAAGACTGTCTAATCTGTAATTTGATGCCTTTTGGAGATTTTTCCATCTTTCCTTGGCTTCTTTATGCACATTAATACAAATTTTTAGCTGGGGTGCCCATACTTTCGATCCCTACTGTATAGGAGGTCATGAAGATGAAAAACAGGAGAGAGTGACAGAGCAAAGAGCTTATCAGTCTGATGCTTTACTTTTCATTGTCCAGCCAGTGGCTGCGGAGGGTTAAGACCTGCAAATATTACTTAACTGCAACAGTGAAAAATCAGGTCTCCTGCCCTGCCAGAAAAGACTGTACTGTGTGGCAGAGCTATGCAAATCTTAGGACTGATTAAAGAGAAATACAAATCCTTTGTCAGGCAAAACAACTCCCATATATGCATTTCATTTGTGTATTTACATGTTTGGTTGGAGTTCAGCTATAACATATCGTGAATAAGTGCTTCGAAAAAACTATCTGCATTCAAAGTGACTTCCCAATTCAATTTAAAAAACAACCTTTTTTATAAGGAGTCATGGACATGTGAAGAGGAATAAAAGAAATTGTGTGTGGCCCCTCCTCAAATGGCAGAGACTGCTTTCTGAGACCATAGTATATATGAATTATGTCATTTTGCAAGATACTAATAAAGAAGGTGTCCCATGTGGCAAGGTGAATATATACATACCTCAAAGTCTATGAGGTGCAGGTTGGCTATCAATGTCACTAACAAACCACTGTTGTAGAGCTCCTGTGCTAGCTGGGCCACAGTCTCAGTTTGAGGCTCCTTGTCTCCTGTACCACACAAAATTTCCTTTGTGGCTTGGAGGGATTTGGACACCTCTTCAGAGGCCTGAAACATGCAGAAACACAACCTGTAATGCACTAAAATTTTAAAGAAGGCTGATCAATACAACAAAGACATGTCTTTTTATAAGTAGTCAGGAGTAAGTAAACCAATCCATTAGTAAACAATATCTCTTATGTACCAGAAACATGTATTTTAATTAGCAAGCAGAAGCAGTACTCAAAAAGTTATAAAATGAGTCATAATCTTTTAGACTGTCTGGATTATATAGGCAAAAATATTATTTATGGCCTCAGAACTATAAGGCTACTTTCACACTACTCTGTATGAAAAACACACGTGTTTTTGGCACATTTTTCTCTGCATTAAATTTTATGCAACACATTATGTGGTTTTATGCATTTTTGCCAAATACGCGTTGCGTTTTCTCCATATCACTTCCACTATTCTAATGTGATTTTCAGTGCAACTATTGATGCAATTCAATGCAACTGTAGAAGCCCTGTTCACATAACTGAATGACAAGAGAAATCACATTATATTCTGACTTCAGTGCAATTTCAGCCTCAAAGATTTCTAAATTATCTCGCAAAAGTTGCATCAGCATAGATAGGAAGCATTCCTATGCAGCTTTGATAGATCAGTGTTTTTTTTTTAACCCTCACCTCTTTTCCTAGGTCATCCTTGTTGCTCAAAGGCTAGGTTCACACTGAAGCAGTTTTGATCCTTCCTTTGATCAGTTTCCTTCCTCTTTTTTAACAACTGAGCAAAAATGGATCAGTTTGAAAGCAGTCTAATACTCCTTTCACATATCCTCATAATTCTATCATAATACAAATTAAAGTGTTCCTAAACCCCGGACCCTGCATTCACTAGATCTGGTCTCCCACAGTACACAGAACATGGAAATGCAATTATTTTAGTAAATGCGGGCATACTTCAGTTTACGAATTTAATTTGTTCTGAGGGACCTTTAGTATAGCGAAACATTTGTAAACCAATAAATCTGTTCCGGATGTCAGAAAAAAGTAAAAGCTACTAAAATACCGCATGAGTTATTTTATCAAGTCATGTGGTATTTTAATAGTGACAACCATGTGTTAATGTTTCAGCTGTCAGCGGGGTTCTCCACTGACAGCTGAATGGAAAATAATTCCCAGCTTTTTTTTCTTCACTATAGCTCACAGAATTAGCTGTCACTTTCCCTGGAGTTAAAGGAAACCTTCTTTTAAGAAACTAAAAGGAAACATTGTTTCTTTTAACTTGGGGAAATAAACTAAAGGGAAACAGCTGAATCTCTGAGCTAAAGTGAAGAAAAAAAAAACGGTAATTACATTTAAAAACCAGGACCATAATAAACAAATGGAGTGGGGTCCCCCTCCCATCCATACCAAGCCCTTTGGGTCTGGTATGGATTTTGAGGGGAATTCCCATGCCACAATTTAAAAAAAAAAAAATGGTGTGGGGGTCCACAAGGGTCTCTTCCCCACAACCCTGGCCGGTGGTTGTTGGGGTCTGCTGGCAGGGGGCCTATCAGAATCTGGAAGCCCCCTTTAACAAGGGGGCCCCCAAATCCCAGCCCCCCCCCCCATGTGAATGAGTATGGGGTACATGGTCCATTGTACATTGTACAGAGGCCAGGGACACAGGTAGTACTGAAGCTTTTAAATACATACGACAGCCAGGTAATGAGTACTTTTAATCCCAGTTGTCACTAGAACAGGTGTGCCCTCTGGGAAATTTCCCCTTGTGTCATATTCAGGTGATCACTTTCTGTCCAATTGTCATCAGGACAAACAGAAAAACAGATAGAAAGAACAACTTGATAGGAGTTGCAATTGTTCCCTACTTGATCAAATACAAAAAAAATACATTTGGCTACAGATAAAGAACATGGTTATAGATATTTAAAGGAATTAAATTTCATTGGTTGCTACAGCCATGATGCCACATCTCAATAATAGGGCAGAGGAAACCTATATTGTGTGAAACATTTAATTGCTCCCTGTTGTTTAAACAAAGGAATTTGTCACATGATTACAAAAAGAAAATACATATGCTTTACCTTTTCTGTCTTCTTGTCCTGCTTTTCTAATAAAACCATGTTATCCTTCAACGTTTTCACAATTTGCAGGATTCTTGTGTGATTTACTGAACAATGGCATTTTTTTCATCTTGCTGGAATGTTAATGTATCGATACCCTAAAAAGCAAAGCAAAAACAAACATAATGCTACACAAGGCTAAGGGTGGCCAAACACATTCCAATTTTGTCAATTTGATGTCGCAAAGTATAGACTGGATCAGGCTATAGATTGGAGTTGTTGGAAGATATCACTATTGCAAACAGAATGAAAAAAGGAGCCAATCTTTGCCTTTCCAGACAAGAAGTGAAACAACTTCTTAGCACCTGCCTGCCTCAGTTTTGCTGGTCATAGTAAAGATACACTGCAGCAGGTCCTAGCAACTTGAGGAAGGACAGATATCTCTTTGTCTGTAATTCTGAGTGCAAGATCTACCAATCCATGAACAACTTAGGTGTCAATCTCAACAATTCTAACCAAACACTAGTACCAACCTAACCTGTCATCCAGGATTATTGGGGAACTGCCTTAATTTTGAAATTAAAATAAGTAACAGCAGCCAAAAAAAAAGACCAAAGAATGCCAACATTTTTGCTGCATGGATGCACTTAAATTACATCTCAAGAGGAAACACCACAATCTGTTCCATTGCTTCATTAAAGCTGACCTTCCCTATTTGTCTTTTAGTAAGGCTAGCAACCCTAGTAAATATTTATATCTGACCCACGTAGAGATTTTGGTTCCATTGTTGCCAATAAATACAACAAAACAAACTATAACCACAGGATCCACTTACTAGAATGTAAGAAATTGCATGGTATGGCAGAAACGGATCAGACAAAACAATTGGCGGTGTTTTGTACATCACATAGCTGACTTCAAACTGTACTAAGCCTGAAATTGAATAAGTAGATGTCTGGCAGAAATTCTAGCCAGTCTAGCTAGTCCTTAGCTATAGCATATGTTAATATAGTCTTTAAAGCGGTTGTAAAGGTTCAAGGTTTTTTACCTTCATGTATGCTATGCATGAGGGTAAAAAACCTTCTGTGTGCAGCAGTGCCCCCAGCCCCCTCAATACTGACCTGAGTCCCATCGCGATCCAGCGATGTGCACAACAGCTGGCTGTCCCGGGTCTCTGCCTCCTATTGGCTGGGACAGCAAGCGGAGAGAGGGGGTGGAGCCAAGCCACGGCTCCCTGTGTGAATGGACACAGAGCAGCGAGTGCCCCCACGTATTTATAAAGCGCCAATAGTTCGCTCAGCGCTGTACATTATAAAGGGGGACAGAACATGTGACAGAACAATAACAATACAATGCAAAACATGAGGGGATCGAGGGCCCTGCTCTTTCAAGCTTACAATCTAGGAGATAGCAAGCTGCTTGCTCTGGGGGCACCCGACAGGAGGTACGGGTTAGGAAAGCCTGCGGAGGACCTGAGAAGAGGAGGATCCAGGCTGCTCTGTGTCTTTGCAAAACCACTGCACACAGTAGGTAAGTATAGTTTGTTATATTACAAAAAAAAAATTAACCTTTAGTATCGCTTTAAGGTGGCTCCACATCAGCTAAGAGGGCTTGTTTAAGACTTTCTCTTCCAATAAATATCTGATATCCATCTGTTCAGCCAATATTCAGCTGTTTCAGAAGATGTGATCATCTGAAAGCAGTAAAGGAGTACAGCTCTCCATCAATTCCCCATAGCCCTCTAATGACATTCCTTGCATGGACCACACATACCTGCTAGTCTGGATCATCATCATAGACGGCCAAATCTACTGAAGACAAAGACTCAAGAAGGAGTTGGACTAACCTGGAGGTATATGGACAGCTTTACTGGTTACTATTGTTTTCTAAGTGGTAGCTGCAATGCAGAGTGGGAATATTTTCCTCTTTTTATTTTTAACACGGATGTGGGCTATGGCATGTCTGCATTTTTTTTTTTCAATAACGCTGTGGTTGCAAGGATCATAAGAGTCAAAGAAAAGGGGATCTATGGAATTCTGATTTAGCATAATACTTTTTATCAGATTTTTTTGCTTTATCATGTTGAGCTTGAGATCTCTCTTAAATGTAATGTTTTTGTGTTTGACTGTCGTGTACCTGTAAACTAGAATTCCAGGAAAACTGAACATTAAAGAGGGACTTCACCCTACGCAAAATTAGATTTCATATAGAGAATACATATTCCTGTATAATAACAAACAAACTTACAAGCCCATAGAATCCAGTAATTTCTTAATCGAAATTGTAGTTCTCCTGGCATTGGTCTGCTTCTCATCGCCAACTTTAAAGTCCTTTTCCTGGTTTCATCCCGCACATGCACAGACACACCACGGGTCTCTGCCAGGTCTTTTAATTTCCCCACAAATGCGCAGACACACCATACATTTTGACAGGTCCCAAAGACCTATCAGAGACCTGTGGCATGTTTGCATGTATTGGGAATCCTGAACATGCACAAACTGGCTGCAGGTCTCTGCAAGGTCCCACACCTGCAGCATATGTGCACATGTGGGGCATTGAAATCTCACAATTCTTTATCCCACTGCCTCCTGGTGTGCCATGTGTGACATGGACATCCCAATAGGCATTGTAGAGTCAACATGTATAGCCAGCAACTCGTCATATGATGACTAAAGCTTTGCAGCTGAAATGCGTAAGCCTCTGTATATCTGTATTCCACCTGCATTATCAAATTATTTGCTTTTTGGATGACAAGTTGTCTGATACACATTTTGACAGTATTCCATGGGTTAAGGTCCATTTTAAACCCAAGAATCAAAGATATAATATATTGCTGCTTACCATTTCGTAGATGTGGTGACTGTATTAGATTTTTTTATTAAGGCATTTTTCCCCTTTACTTTTCCCTTGTGATTCAGCTAGTAACACACTTCGTATCCTCTGGTGACAGCACTCTCTCACTATACTGTACCTATGGAATAGTAGCAGTGTCACACTAGGACAAAGAGTCTGTCAGGACTACAGAACTCCTATGTCTTATCCTCTCCGCTGACTGCTTCCTTGCATTAATATTCTCAATTTCGCCTAAACTTATTCACTGAATTTATGATGGTGATGCCTGAATACAATCCCTGGCAGCCTCTGGGGTACACACAGCTAAAACCAATAATTACTTCAAGATGCCAACAGAGAGAATCGTCTCCTTTTTACACGTTGGACAGGTGAAAAGTCACCCCTTGAGCTACCCCTATATACATGGTCTTTCAGCGTGTGTCTTGATTTTGAGGAGTACATTTAAAATAGAAGTTCACCTTTTTCAAAACAATAATAAAATGCACATCTTTTTGCAGGTAAAAAAATGTGCATCTATTATTTGTTTTCTACTTGGAGCCTGTAAAGCATTGCATCTGTGATAAGCAGATGGCGGGTGCCATGTAGGACTCCTGCAGACTTATCAGTGTATCTGTCTGCTCGTACCTTGTATAGACAGGCAGATACACAATGTCAGGAAAAGACAAGGAACTACCAGAGGACTCAACAGCACCATAGTAGTTCATGGAGAACTACAGGCTGACAGCCACATAGACGGTTGGTACTTGTAGTTTTCCATTCACAGAACAGTGTAAATGAATGACGCGGCCAGGCAGGTGGAGCCCGTTTTTTTTTTTTTTTTTAAAATAGTGACAGTGAGCGGATGGAGAGGATCCCCTGCTTGCTGTCACTAGAGGCAGCGAAGCAGGCAGCAGCTGCAGGAGTGGGAACATGTTACATGCTCCACCCTAAAAATTAGTGAAATGTAACATGTTCCCAAAGGTGAACTTATCCTTTAGTCTCTGATAACAAAGTGTTTATTATATATGTATTGTACAACCATTTGCAGTAGTGACTAAGCCAACTAAGATTGTGATTTTCACAGGATAGGTCTGCATATTTCAAGTTATATATATTTCTTTGTTGATCATGAACCACTTAGATCTTTATTATTAAGCACACTAATTTCATATAAAAGATTCTGGTCTTTAGATAAATAATGGTGCTCTAGCCTACTTTGTAGCTGCGTTTTTATGAGTGTTTAACTTAATACATGGGCTTTCCCACTATATACACATCAAGTGTCACATGTACTCTAGCTGTGTCATACTCCTAACAAACCCTAAAAATGTTTAGTAACAAACTAGGCAGTGAACGCATGTAAGGAGGGCACTCTGCTGGGCACACATGGATGTAAGGGGGACTCTGCAGGACACACAGGAATGTAAGGGGGAACGCTCCTGGGGACACATTGATGTAAAGGGGAGAGAGGCTGCTGGGCACAAATGAATGTAAGGGGGGACTTGACTGGGTACACATGAATGTAAGGGGGACTTGACTGGGTACAAGGGGAAACTCGGCTGGGCACACATGAATGTAAGGGGCACTTGACTGGGTACACATGGATGTAAGGGGAGACTCGGCTGGGCACACATGGGTGTAAGGGGTGACTCGGCTGGGCACACATGGATGTAAGGGGAGACTCGGCTGGGCATACATGGGTATAAGGGGAGACTTGGCTGGGCACACATGGATGTAAGGAGGGAATGCTGTTGGCCACACATGGATGTAAGGGAGGACTTTGATGGTTACTCCTGGATGTAAGGGAGGATTCTGACAGGCACTCTGTAAGGGGTGGATTGTTTATAATCTAAAACTGACATTTTTTGGCCCACAAATATTTGTAAAATATATTATGTGGTCCTCATACTGAAAAGTTTGAAGGCTCCTGGTCTAGACTGGAAATGGCAAAGCAATTAGAAATTATATGCATAGCTATGCATTTCAAAGAGATGAATACAAACTAGGTCAGGCAAAATAACGCTCTGGAGCTTGGAGGTGATTCTATTGCTTGGAGTTGGAACTGAACGCATCACATTTAAAAAAAAAAAAAAAAAAGTCTACAACTGGTGCTGGCATATTAGAGCTGGATCACAATTTTGCAGATACACTTCAAACTAGTGCTGAGTCAATGGAGCTAGAAGGGCACCAATCATATTTTTCAGAGAGGCTCAGGAACTGGTACTGAATTACTGGTGCTGCCGGCACTGCTGACATGTTTTAGATAAGGTCCAGTACTGTTGCTGAGTAATTGGAGCT